GCGGACAGTTCTTCATTATTGAGCAGAGATCCCAATAACTTTAAGCGTTCTTGATCGTTTGATAAATTTTTGACATCAAAGGCCTCTTCAATTAAATCTTGCCAGTGAAATAGGTCGGCTGGGTTACCATACTTGCCGCTAAACTTAGGCAATTCGCTCAACTTGATGCGATCCGCGGTCATAGTGGTTGGTGCCAGAGGGGTGGGTAAGTAAGGTGGTCCAAAGTAGTATGCTTGATGATACGGGGTGTAACCAGTCTCAGGAAAGTGCGCTGCCACTGGTGTTGAAGTTTGGTATCCGGGCTGAGGCGCTGCACCTGATGGTGTTCCTTCGGGTCGATCACGCGGTTGCGTCGCTCCAGACGCTTGGGCACCGTCCTCGACATGGTCGTTGGCTGATGTTGCTGCCTCGTCCGGCACCGTCGCTGCTTGATGAGCATCCCCTTCTCGTCTGACTGACTCTCTAGGTAGTGGACTAGGCGATACCGGACTGCGATTGAGGTATTGGTTGAAGGCTTGACCGGCTCCAGCGTTCGTACCGCCTAAGAATCCCGGGCTAGTGTACGCTTGTGATCGCTCCGCCATCAGCTCTCACACCATACGCTGGAGCGAGAGTGTTTCTTGACGCCCTTGAGCTAGAGTCTCATTCTGAACTCGTAGACTCTCGACTTGCTGTCGCAGTGCGTCGATGGTCTCCTGATCGTTCGACATTGTGTTTGCAGATGCACACGTAAGGGTTGGTGCGTTCAAGGTAGAATCGGGCTCTTTTGCGTTAGGTGTTTGCGTCTCTAGGTATCCAGGAGGGTGTGGTGTCTGTACGTTTGTACTGAGCAGTTTCTGAAAATGTAGGTCGATAACTGTCTTCTCAGACGCTGAGGGTGATATCGGAGGGGGTGAAAAGTGGACTGTTGAAACTTCGGCAGGACTGATTCGATGACTGGATGCGTATAGTATTTGATCAGTTGGAGCGGGCGATCCTGAGACTGAGGCTTCCGGCCTCCACTGATATCTGGGTGCAGCAGGAGCTGGAGGGGACTCGCGGCGCTCCTTCTTCTTTTCTTTCCGAGCTTGTCGAATTAAACTATCAGGATCGTCGAGAAAGTTGTCCGGTTTCAGAGATCCTGTGCCGCTCATTCAACACGTCTGAGAACTTGGCAGGTGAGTTGTATTCAAGGTTTGATCCGGCTGGCTGGATTCGTTGGGTTTGTTTGACTGAATCGAACTGAAGACTGATGAATCGATTGACAGGTGACAGGGGTGGCAGATTGACAGAAAGAAGACTGAGGGTGACAGAAGTAAGAGAAAAAAAATAATAGTGATGATGATAGAATGTAAAATTGTTGTAATTAACTTTTGAAGTGAGCAAGTTAAAAAAAGTGTAAGGTTCTCGTGAGAACCTTCACTAGCGTCCGGATGTTTAATCCGGCACGACTTCTCGAGAGAGCACACTCGGACAATTAACTTGGAACTTCGTTATATGAATTACGAGCTGGTTCCAGAAAGTCCAGTAATAGGCTCTCAGAGGAGTCAGTAAAGAGAACTAATGAGAATAAAACAAGATAAAAGCAATTAAAAAGAACTAAGCTCACCTGGTTCCAGAAAGTCCAGTAATAGGCTCTCAGAGGAGTGAGGACTTTCCGGAACCGGGCGTGGAGCAAGAAGATATAACACCACCTAACTAATCCCATGATCCAGAACCCATGAATGTACTTGTGTAACCCTTACAGTATGTGTGTGTGCTCAGTGTTCTGTGTGTGCATGATAAAGAGTGTTAGTGTTTTTTTGTTGTGTTATCGTGTTCATGTTGAGGATCTTATAAAGGTTGTAGTGCGATCGACCTATTTTTTTTAAAAAAAATAAAGAAAGACAAGTTTTTGCTTACTTAGTTCGTTGACGTTGGCATAACATAAAGGAGTGTAAAAGAAAGAGAAGTCTTACCTTGTAAGAAGGAAATTCACAACAGATATAGTCAAAATTGATTGAAAAGAGTTTTGGAAGTTTCATGGATGTGACTTACCACCAGTATGACCACCAACACCTCGTATCAAGTAACTTTGACTTTTGTTCTTGAGTAAGTTTAAATTGAGAAGAATCAAGAATGAATTCGTTGAAAAATATAAATTTAGATGCTAACCTTGGTTCTTCGATTTGAGAATCAAAATCTGATCGATCGAACTTCAAGCTATATAATGTCTTTGGGAGCGATTTGAATTCACGTAAGCCATATGCATTCATGTAATCCATCATGATCCAGTCTGCTTCCTGTTTATGATCTATGTACTCTTATGATGAGTTAAACTATTATGTTTTGAAAATGTTTTGTTTCAAGTTGTCCATGAAGATCTATGCAAGAATTGCAAAAGAAAAAAGATATCAACACACCTGTCAAATGAATTTCTTTGTTTGAGGTTGAAGAGCAAAGACTACTTACATTCATGATCTGTAGGAATACTTCTTGGCTGTTGTTTGACTTGTTCACCGGATCTCAGTCACTGTGAGTAAGAATAAATCCACAGTCCAAGACAATTTAAGATCGCTCCAAGAGTCCCACAATCAATCCAAAAGAACCACTCACTTGAAATGTAATGTGTTTAGATGCAATCATGTGATTTTCCAATTGGTCAAGGAAATTGGAGATGAACTTTGATTTGAATGATTCAGTCCATTGGTACATCAAATTGTTGATGCGTAGTGTTTCATTGAGGAGACATACCTTCTTGTGATATTGTTCAGAACGGATGGCTAGCGCGGCGAACAGTGCTGATGATACTTGATAGTTGAGAACGTACATAGTGGATCAAATCAAGGCAAGGCGGGGGCATTGATTTGGCAAATCAACAGTGTTAATCAGGTGAATGGATCCATTTTGAGATGTTAGCGTGTGATGGCTGATGATGATACAGATCATGATTAGGTTTTGTGACAGACACTGGAGGTATGGAAGGTTAAAAACTCAGCGCCGATTCATAGATTCAGTTTTGATCCGTGGGATTGACATGTAGAACCTGGGATTTGTGCTGATTCGTAAGGATGTTGAATGGGGTTTGTTCAGCGGCATTTATTACATTGAGAGCTATCATGTTTAGGCGTGATTGCCTGCGTAGGAGACTTATATGTAGTGTTATGGGTACAATGAAACTCTGGTGGATTGAGTATCATTTATGTATTTTCAGAGATTTGTTTTTGAATAATGGAAACAATGTGTGTAAAAGACAGTTGATAGCGATCGGACGGGTTGGAAGTCGCCCTGGATGGCCCTATTCAGTTGGTGATGGAATATCGCAATGCCTGTTACCTACGGGAAGGGGATCATGAACTATCATGAACCATGAAATCAGAAGTGTGTTTGTGGTAGTGGTTGGTTTTGTGATAGTATGTACTTCAGCATCACAAACAGGTAAAGTCGTTGTGATGGAGAGTCCGCGGGTATGTGATCTGTCACGGCAACATAAGATGTGTGCGGATGATTTTTAGGCAAATTGTGCAACTTCGCTTGTGCATTTTTGCCCGAGTTTTGTATTTGAAGTGCCTTTGTGGTTAAATGTAATTGTGGTTAAATGTAATTGTGGTTAAATGTAATGAATGATGATGATGATGTATGATTGCGTATTTCAATTGCAACAGGTCAAGAGCAAAATGTTGAGCACGGCATCGATAGGATAACAACAACAAATGAAAAAGTAGGTTGAGTGGTATTGTGTGCGTATGAACGACTTTCCTTCTTCCTGTGTCAAGCATCTTACATACTCAAGCACATCTTTCTGATCACCAGAAAGAGATTTCCTTGGCTTTTATCACAAGTCTTGTTTAACGATACACCCGATCTTGAACTTTGAAAGAAAGAAAGAACTAAGAGCAACAGAAGAAAAGGAGTCAAGCCGATTACTACGCAGCCGATGCTCCCTGACTGTAGACTTTCGATTCCTACCATCTCATTTCGTACGATTTCCATATGTCTTGGATTACAAACCTCCCTGTACATAAATCATCCCACTCGCACCAGTTATTTCAAGTCGCAAAAGTCATCATTTAGATATTCTCGAAAGATGGAATTGAATCAAAGCCTCTCATGTAACACCCAGATCTCTGAAAATTGTCATCTTATTATTTACAGGGGCGGTGTTAGAAGGCAAGTTATAGACTGCAAGAGATTGCAAGTCATAACATTGTAGAGTGACGGATCTCAGGATTAACTAATTGAGAATGAGAAACCTCAATGAAAAAAAGTCGTGCAATTCTTTCGCAATTGATGAGGTGTGATCCCAGATCAATAATTCATAGTCTTCAACTTTTCAATTTTCCGAAGACCATTCATGAAAATGTTGGAAAGTTTCCGACCAGGATTTTTTGCTTTATTTACCATTTTCTTTTGTCTTTTATCGCAGATTGATAATTCCAAAAGCGTCTATGCGTCGACTCATCGAGATGGATATCGTGGATGGTCTACTTGGAGTCTTCAAGCCTACAAAGGAACCGTACGTTCTTTCAATCTAACTGCTCGAGGGATTCTGTGTTGCAGCGATCGAAAACTGTCTGCAATGACGGTTTATCATTGGTGTACCGCTGGAGACGTGCAGGAGCTTATGCGCTTTTTGATTCCGGCTTGAAAACTATCGATTTCAAAGGGCTACGGTTTTGATTGGGCCAATGAAAAGAATGTGAAGGCCCAAGCCGACGTGATGGCATCTGAGTTTAGTGCGCTTGGGTAAGTGCCACTCCAAGTTTCAAGTTTCGGCCCTGCAGAGGAGATACTCGTCACCTGACTCTGATATTGAGAATCGGTTCAGATACGACCGCATCAACATAGACTCAGGATGGGGAGTAAGTCGAGCATATCTTCATGTTCTCAGAGTCAACCTTCTTTGAAAGCCGGCTGAAATACTTTGTAATCAAGGACGCGGTATTAGATCGATTCGGGCGTATGCAACTGGATCATAAAAAGTATCCATCTGGTATCGAGTCGCTCTCGAGATATCTGAGCGGAAAAGGTCTCAAGTTAGGACTATATTATTTACCAGGAATTGATAGCCGAGCAGTCCGCTCCAAAGTGAATGATTTTACCATACCCCAGATTCAAAACTTGAAATACAAACCATCCTCATTTGATGCTAATGATTTTTAACTTTTCATGTTCCAGTCCAGGGTTTTGGCTACAAATTTCACAGCAAATGAGATTGTGAAGTGCGCTGGAATTCAAATGAGCTCTCAGAAAACCAATGTTTCCAGTTGTCATCGTCCTTACGCAAATGCCTTCAAGGCGGGATACGCGTTGAACTACAGTCATCCAGGTGCGCAGGCATATGTTGATAGTATCGTCGATCAACTTTATTCATGGAATGTAAGCTTCGTCAAGCTGGACGGAAACGTCCCTGGTTCATCGATTGAGAGTTCCGACAAAGACTTCAAAGCGTGTAACACTAGTCCAGACTTGTTGGCCTGGCGTAGCGCAATCGATCGCCTCCACAAATCTGAATGGAGGAACAAAGGTCGAGAAAGGATATGGTTAACTACTTCTTGGGCTTTACCTCCTAGTGAAGCCGAGATCCTCCGGGAGACTGTCGATGCGTGGCGAGTGGCAATAGATATCGAATCCTATGGAAAGGAAATGACAACTTTTGATCGAGTGATCCGAAACGCGCGCGCAGCTGCAAGGTGGACGAGCGTAGAGAAAAATCGAGGCCCAGGACTATTGGATATGGACTCCATTGTGATTGCGAATATGACCATAGAAGAGTGTCGCAGCATGATCACTATCTGGGCACTGACGGTAAGGCAAATTTTCCAAAGGCTTGACATGATCTGGTATAACAAACTTTCCAATGATCGAAGACTCAAATCCGCTTTTTCAATTTAGGGAACTCCTTTCTATCTGGGAGATGATCTGAAGCGCCTTCCAAAGGAAAGAAAAGCTTTGATGCAAAATCCGGCCGTACTGGAGATACAACGTCTGTCGTCCCGGAATCCAGCCAAATTGATCGGCTATCAAGATTCTACTGAGAAATCCAATATCTTTGAGACGTCTGTGGTGGATTCGAGTGATGAAGATCTTGAAGGCTTGTGTCAAAAGGCGATATTTATTCAAAGCACCCTTCATTCACCTCAGAGTGATCCGTGTGGGAGCTGGACAGACAGAAGAAAACTCACGAGTGCAGAAAACTCTTTGAGCGCGGCTGCAACTAAAGAGTGGCAACGCCAAGTTTGGTATGCTGAGCACCTTGAGACAAAACAAATTTTCATCGGTCTTGTCAACGCTGGTCGCCAAATATCCACCGATGGTATGTGATCTTCCCTATGTTGCTTCTTCCATATTTTGGCGAATCTTTTATCGTGTGGTATCTTGCGGCTTTCAGTCTGTACTGAGGTTGCATCGCGGCGATGACTGACAATTAAGCAAAACTGATCATTTGATTCTTCATTCCCCGTTTTGTGTATCTTTCTAGTTGCTCAGGATATCACTATAAATCTTGCCGATATAGCAACATTCAAAGTCCTCAAGAAAGATACCTATTTTGTGAAAGACGTCTGGAACCTCGAACGAGAGATACACATCCAGTCCAATCACATCATCACTTTAAATCTGGCCGTTCATGAAAGCGCCCTTCTGATTCTAAGTAAAAATTGATCAAATGTCTTGTCCATAGATAAACCACTTGGTGGTTTGAGCAAAGGACTAGTAGCTCGGATGTACCTGTATCTTGTGGTTGAGGAATTTATTAATACAAACTCATGACAAGGTTTTGAGCCTTTTTGTTGAGTAACAGTTGTTTCATGACTTGATATTGATCAAGCAAGACTTTAATTTCATCTCTCGCTTTGAAAGGTCCAAGCCTTCCTCTCTGAATAGTTTTGCATCCCTATAGTAATGAGACCTTTCAAAATTTTAATATTGAGAATCACATGCTACCATGTGATGTTTCAGCAGATAATTTTGGGACTGAAGAAACTTTCCTGGCCCTACCTGGCATCATCCTGGATTGTCAAATTCAATATGTTCCCATCTTGTGGCATTCTGGCATTCACAGCATAGAACTGAGTGCAGTCCAGTGTCCTCGCATTGCTATCCTTCACTTGGTGTGCAGCTGGGGTTGAGACGTAAGATGCCCGTTGGATTAGGGCTCGGACACAGCCTCACAGGGGATTAATGAGTGGTCACTTAAGTTGTGTAGTAATCCCGCCCGTATTTTGCCCTCTGGCAACGTATTTTCTCAAGGTACATGGCCTTTTGGGGGTCTTTTCTTCGCACCCAACATGTTTGTGGCCTGGGCGAGTGGACGTGACCGGAGTCAGGTCCAAATACACCCTTGGCAGAATTACCTTGGATGGCTTTGTCTCGAGGTCCCAATCGGACTGTATTTTCAACTCACCAATCTCGACATCGATTTTCTCCTCAACACCTCGTCTTTTTTGAAAACTTCCAAAGACTTTGTGTTCCGAATTCGAACCATCCGAAATGTTACCTCAAACCGAACACGAGGAACGCCAACCACTCTTGCCTCATCAGGATTCGGTTCCCCATCACCAAGTAGGGAATTCACTAGACAGGGTAAGGCAGCCTTGTATTAAGACTGTGACTGCTACAAACCATGTATTGACCTATTTTGAAACCCAGGATGACGAGACAGAAACACGCTCAATCACGCCGCTCCCAGTGAAACAACTGATCGTATTATGCATCATGAGGATCACAGGTGGGCCATCAATCATCATCAACTTGTTAGCCATGGAGATCTCATGACAGGTTATCTGGGCGTCTTTTGCGTTAAATCGTTGGTTGAAACAGAACCCGTATCCTTCACCGTTATATTCCCATTCATCAAGTAAATCCTCTTCGTTCTTCTCGGTCATGTTCAACAAGACAAAAAGGAAATTGATTTATGATCATCTGATTATTTTGAATTTTTTCCATGTTCATGAGCAAAGTCAAATGATAGAAGATCTTAAGGTCACGCCCGATAGGACTCAAGTTGGATCTTACGCTGGACTGATCGAAAGTGTGTTCCACAAATTTCACGACTACAACGAATTGATTGCTCGCGAGGGCCGAAGGAAGATCCGTTATGATATTGGATATTGATTTACCATTGCATACATGAACGCCATTTACTTGTTTGTCTGCTCAGGTTTATTTGCCGTATCTCAACTATGTACCGGTGGGCTCCTCAAAACCGTTCTTCAATTTGCGATATGAGCTGACTCCAATTGACATGATCCGTTGTAGTACTCTTCTGGGGGCGATTATCTGATAGGATTGGTCGTAAGCCTGTATTACTCAGCGGGTTGCTAGGCTTATCCGTTGGAATGATTGCCTTTGGTGTTCAATGGTCTTTTATCGGGCTTATTCTCGCTCGTTCTTTTGCTGGTGCGATGAATGGTCAGTGCTCTGTCCCTCAAATATCCTAAATCATCCTTGCAGTCTCTAGCATCAACACACTTATCAGGCCGTCAAATCTGATCATTATACAATTCAATAGGTAATATTGCTGTTATCAAAGTATTTGTTTTCGTTTTTTTTGGTCAAGCAGGTGTTGAGACTTGGACTGATGTGAATGCACGGTTGGTTGGAATTCTAGAGTACCCTGGCCGAACTTACGGATGAGACTAACCAAGCAAGGTACGCTGACATGACCACCATCCTGTCTTGACTGGCAATCTCGAAGACGATGTTCTAAATCACGTTGCGGTTGGGTATCTCATAGAGCGTTTGCTCTACTTCCTCTATCGTACGCCATTGGAATAGCTGTCGGACCCGCTATTGGAGGATATACCGCGAAACCAGCGGAACAATACCCCAGTCTATTCTCTATAACCGGGGTTTTTGGTCGATATCCGTACTTCTTACCATGTTTCATCGCTGGCAGCTTAAATGTGTTGGCAGTTGTTCTGGGGATATTTTTCCTAGACGAAGTTAAGTCGTCACTACCTTATATGAAATTCGGAGAATCTTCGAAGGCAGGCTGATCTTTTGATTTGATTCTTCTGTGGGTGACGATTCAGACGCTGCCTACTAAAACTCCAGCTGCGCTGAAACGAGCCGCTCAAGAACGCGCTCAAGAAACAGAGACAGGAATACAGACTCAATCTTCAGTCGTCGTGGAGCCTCCATCTGTCATATCTTTGTTGAAGAAACCGGTTATCTTGGTCCTTCTGTGCTTTATATTCATGGCCTTTGAAAATTCGGCATGGAACGCATTAGTGCCACTATTTTCTTATACTCGTATGCCCCCCGTCGATTGCTGTACCATCTTTGCTCACTTGACTTAGCTCTGCACTGAATCTCTTCTGAATACCCACAGGCATAGAAGATGGCGGTCTTGGTCTTACCATGAATCAAATCGGTCAGTGTGCCGGCTTCGAACATTTGCCATACAAAAATGTAGTCGCACTCATACAACGGACAAAATCGTCATGAACAGGGACTACGCTCAGCAGCAGTGGTATTGTTGCCGTACTGGTACAAACCGTACTCTTCCCTCTACTTCAGCGCAAATACGGCACTATCAACCTCTTGCGATGCGTCAAACTGGCATTTCCGATATGTTTCATGTCCTTACCTCTCATTGGTATCATGACACGTGAAGCGTCACCGGATGGTAAGACAGTGACACCACATTCGACCCTGGTTGCTATGCTAGGTATGGCGTTTTCGCTTGCCCTCAAGTGTTTTGGAAACATGTCAATCGGTATGTTCCTTGAATGTGATCATCTGCAACCCGTCAAACTTGACAGAAAGAGTTCAATTGATTATACTTGCATTTGATCCTCCAGTATGTATCACTCTCCTCGTGAATGCATCTGCGCCGACTCGCGAATCACTTGGAACAGTCAATGGTTTGGCTCAGGTTTGCTTCACTTCCAAATTGGTCGTCTTATCACCCATCATTTTATAGTCTTTCCCGTGCTGAAGATACTCTGACCCATTCCCTAAAAGTCTTGCGCTTCCTTGGCTCGTTCCTTTGGTCCTGTTGCAACAGGGTCTTTGTTCGCCGCTAGTATTGGTTCGCATGCGCTGGGCGGAGCCTTGATATGGGTTGTGCTCATGCTGGTGAGGGGATTTTGATCTGTCCTTTGATCTTTTCGAGATGAATCTAAAACATTTGCGTTCTTTGATAGATCTGTGCTGCAGGATATGCAACCTGCTGGATAGTGGAAGAGGGTCACCCAAGTTGGCGAAAGGGAGGTGGAGCCAGACCAAGTGTGGCTGTAACCCCTTCAGTCAACTCATCTTTAACAGATGGCGCTTCTAATACTCGGACAGGGTATGGAACGATGTCTTCTTGAATTTTTTAACCTACAAAACCTGGAATTTGTAATGTAGAGCCACTGGAACGGTATTGAGCCGCGATTAAATTGATATTATGTATCTTCTTGCTTATGTGATCTCTCTTTGATCTGAACCCAACCTCTGGATAACTTGAGAAAGTTTCTTATTCAGAAGGTCCAACAATCAGGCTTAAAAGCACTTTCTTGAGCGTGCAAGGAGACAGAGGAGGCGATGAAATCCCTTTCACATTTAGATCATCTTTTCCCTAATCTCGTTTTGAGGTATGAGAACAGACCTCTTGCTGGTGGGATGCATCCCACGGTGTTGATGTAGCATATGACTTGAGTGCTGAACATCACATGACCTGGACAGAGTTTCTTACTGGCAATAATATCTAAATGTATCATCACACTCATTCATTTTGTAGTTATGCCAATAGATGTGTGTGATCAAGTTGAGGATATCGTCAGAATTGTTCACCCTTCCGAGATGAACACTCCATGTTCAACAATTGATCTCAGTACTCACCATCCCAAACCGTAGGATAAGAATAAAGTGTACAAAGTTTGTTACTACTCTCTCGACTCAATTCTGGCATTTCGTCGACTCAATTAAATTTATAAGACATACAAAAATGGGGAGAGTGATGGATTAAGTCATGTGGTAGCAAGAGTGACGTAGGTGAGGTTAATCAGGATTGGGGTACATAGTCACACCCTTCGGTCACACTGGCCCGCAATTTCGAAGAAAATGAGGTGGAGATAAGACGAAGAATAGATAAGACGAAGAACAGATAAGACGAAGAACAGATAAGACGAAGAACGCACCTTGAGTGTTGACCCTCCTTGACACGACTATAGGCTTCATCGACTCGCAATGAAATCTTCCGAGGAAAGAGAAGCACCGAGGTGCTATAGGCTGCTTTATTGATCTCGAATCCTGCCATAGCACGTGGTCTCTATATATGTCAGCCTCTATAGGATGGTCATTTGGCCTGGCCTCCAGTCTTCGCGCGCGGTGAAACGTACATGATGTTAATTTTTGAATGACAGTCAGATGATCCATTGGATTTTCATCCTGCGCTTCTCAAATCCCACCAGACGTCGAGAAGGTGCTTGAGAAAATGTAGTCGAACTACGGATGTCTTGCATATAAATAGCTACATCTCCTCTTCACCTGGACCTCCTTCCTCACCGATCTCATTCTGATTGCTCTATCTGCGTTATCTGCCCTCCTCTGTCTTCAGTCAATCTTCATTTACTCACGCTCGATTATTTAGTATGTCCGTTATTGAGACTCATCGTAACGAATCTTCATACTCACCCTTGATGGCAATGAGCCTGAACCCAAGATTGACTCATGAGAGGTTGCAAATCCATGAAAAGCGCACAGAGAAGACTCTTACCACCACCAACACTTTTCAGAAAATGACACCGTCGGTCAATTGCACCGGAAAGCAAGTAACTTCACCCCAAATTCCTTCAGCCAGTAATTGTCTTGGAGAACTCCCCACCGAACTCATCTTAAACATCATTCACAATCTTGCCCACGGACCTGATCTCGGGTCAAGCCGGCAGCACGATCGATTGGCAGCTAAGCATTCTTCCGCCGATACCATCAAAAGGCTCCGTTTGGTCAACAAGCGGTTTTCTGAAATATCAAGGTCCGAATTATTTCAATCAGTCAAGATAGACAATGAGTTCCAAGGACGAGACTTTGTGAGATGGTACCAATCGCTTCAGCCAAATCATCGTCCGCGCGTCTCACGACTTTCGGTAGGAAAGGTTCATGCAGGCATTATTGGTCGCACCAGTACTACCAGTACATCATTCAAGGTCTTCGAAGAGATTATCATCATGCTTGCTCCTGGTCTCATTCAATTACAAGTAGAATTTTTGGACTGCTTGGATTTCTCGCCAACGGCCGTGAAAAACCTTGCACACTGTTGTCGTCTGCAAATTCTTCATCTCAAAGTCGCCACTCAGCAGCCATGTGATGCCACTCAATTACCGCAAGAAGGCAACCAACCTGTTTGTTCTCCTCAGTATTCATTGCATTCACTACTCAACGCTCTACATGCACTACCGAAACTTGTCTCTCTAGATCTGAACAATTGCTTGGACAAATGCCCCGTGCTATCATCAGCTGGTCATCATCCTCGACTTCCTTCGATAGTGAGGTTGAGCGCCAATCTTCAGAACGGTCAGACTGCATTTCGGAGGGATCAACACATCTCCTTGTGCACCTTGGCATATGCGCTCAAATCCAGCCTCAAACATTTGGTAATCCGTGGATCCAGATATGAATCTGAGCGACTTGTACCTGTCCTTGAAGCTGTCTCCGCCAACTTGCAAACCCTTCAATTAAGCGAAACTTCAGTAGTCAATCATTGCCCTCAGCTTGAATTTCCAAAACTTCGAACTATCTGCCTTGATGACTCTCGCTTCCCTCAAGTTCATCAATTTTCTTCACCATTATTTCAAAGTGCTTCAACTCTCGTCTTTCGTACTTGGAACTCTGGTCTCGATACGAATGACGCTCCGCTTGAGATACCGGATGATACACTGGCGCATCTCAGACAGGTTATACTCACTCACACATCCAAGCCAACCAAAGCAACAGTGCAGCTGTATAAAGCTTGCTCGAAGAACAATGTCGATCTATTTTTGATGGACCGAAATATGGATGTTGTTTTCTAAGGGTACGCACTGCACACTGGTTTCGGTTAAACTTATACCTGATCAGCTGACATTTTCGTCTCCACTTGTGTTGCTTTATAGGAGTGTGAGATCAACACTCTCGCCAATTCCAACTCTCCACTTCTCATCACTTTTGAATTTTCAGATATTTGAATTTTGTTTTCACTACGCATGTCAAAGGTTGATACGTGTCTCTCATCACAATCCAATCTTGCAAGTCTCACCTGTCCAAGTTCATCTTGATCTATCTCCTTTGTATTACATGATTCTTTGAAGAATTCAGTGCTCCACTACTTATCCCTCATCTGCACCTGCTTGTAATCTTTATTATGTGTTGTACCACGATTTGTTTTTAAAAAAGCTTTATCAGCAATATCTCAGTTCGTATTCTTTCCTATTTGTATTGCTTACTTTAAACTCTATCCTACTTTATCTCAAAAATGTTACAACTCCCTTATCTCGAGTCTGAGATACCACGATGTGTTTGCCATATCTAGCTTCACTTGCACACCTGGCATCGCCCGAGGTTCGGACCCTCAAACTCTATTTTGAAGGGCAATTGGTCACAATGTACCGCTGCTGGTCAATGTGAATATCTATTTGTCATACTATGCATGTCTCTACTTGCTCAACTAGTATTACATGACCACTATTACCCTCTTGGATTGCACATTTTTCAGTTCAGCACATATTTTGTCTGGCCTTGTGAGATCGTGTCAAATAAAGTGCCCGCGTTGCCTAGCTCTAGGGTGTGAAGAGCCACCATACACAAAGTATGCTGTTAGTCCACACTTTGAAAACACCTTTGGTTGACTTCCTCCTGTGGAAAGTATTTCCTCTACTGGGGTCCAGGACTATAGAATCCCTCAAGTTCACCTCAATTCCAGCTCAACATCTGGGGGAACTGAAAATAGTATCTGATTTAAAATTTCTATTGCACAAGACAGGCCTTCAAGAACCAACAGTTATTAGCAAAAACTATAATTCCTTACCTTGTCAGACTCCTTGATCATGGGAATAATAACAGATTTATGAAGTTCAACCAACCAAGAAAGAAAATGACATGTAGAATATTTCATAAACCTTATGGGTCTTCCAAATATTAACAAATATATCCAAAAAAAAAATAGCCATATGTATCAAATGTTGATGATGAATCTCTTAATCCATAGGGAAAAAAAGGAATATATTGTAGTTTATCCTCAAAATAGAAAGATGTATCCAGAAATTCAACAACACAAGTAATTTCAGTGAATTGATTATTCTTTTCAACACCATTTTTCCACAGGAAAGGGCTCAAAATACCAAGTGATTATTTATCAGATACGGAAGAGAACTTGAGCAGATCATATCCAGGCCACAAGTAGCATAAGGAGCTTCTTCAACTCTTTCTGAAGTACAGAAACTTTTAGCCAAAGTTTTCTTGTTGCTACCCTTGAAACACCATGTCCTCACATGTCTTGTTCAATATATTTGGCTTGTCACTGAATCAATAAATAGTGACTGGCTCTCATCATCATGTATACCTTCAAACCAAGTGAGAAGTCTCAAATTATCCAACTTATGAATATATGACATGTAGTAGGTCCTACTCTTAAAAAAATAGATCAACTAGTCATCATCTATTGAAAAGCTTCAATCTCAAAGCCCAAACCACAAAAGCAACCAAACATACACAGTATTCACCTGCCTTAAAATTAAAGGATTGCATATTTTTAAATAAAAGCTCAAGAGTCTATTTATACACAATAGGCAAATATCCATAATACGTTCTCAAAAAGATTGTTCACAAGAGATAGTGAAAAGATATCAACATATCACATAGGAGATGAAAACAATATCGGATCAGAGACATACATTTTTGCTCAAACTCATCAGATTGAGTATTAAAAATCTTGCAAGAAAGAGTCATACTGGTGATACAACACTTTTGGTGTGACAGAACACCTACATTGATTAAAACAGTAAAGACCTATCTACTTAAGTGGAAAAGGGATAAACAACAAAATGAAACTCAGTACCCTCGCCATTGCTGTTGCTGTTGCTGTTGTTGTTGCTGTTGATTAGGATACATCATATTATTCTGCATTGGCATTCCTGTTTGTTGTGGCATGATATAACCACCAGGTGCGAACCCAGTCGGTTGTGGTTGTAGTGGTTGAATCATACCAGGTTGTGTAGGCATAAATTGTTGAGTGAAGCTATTATTCGCTGTACCCATCATACCGACTGCTGTATTACATCCGAAAAGCTAGATCAGTTTGGAACACATCCAATTGGCTTTTGAGAACGATCAAAAGACATACGAGTTTGCGGTGCTCGAAGCGCATTGTACTTGTTGGGATCTTGAGGGCCTGCATCACCATTTCCAGACGTGAACTGACCAGTTTTCATTGAAGCAAATACGTCACTTGGGTTGAAACTCTTTGCCGGCATTGATTGAGGGGCAGATGAATATGCGCTAGGGATGCTGGGAACCGGAGGCGGAGGAGCAGATTGAAAACCGGGTGCATATCCGGTCATCTCTGCCATATGCCGAAATCAATACTGGTAATTTAATCAATCCATCTGAAATTCCTAGACTCACGAGGACTTATGCCCATCCCTATCCCCATGCCTGTAGGTTGTGACTGCATGAAGCCCATCCCTGTCGCTTGCGGCTGCATCATACCCATACCTTGAGGCTGCAATGTACCATTTCCCATCATGGATTGCGGACCCATCCCTGTAGGTTGCATTGCCATAGTGGTCGGCTGTGAGGACATACCCGTCATCATGTTGTGTTGCATAAGCTGTTGCTGGGGCACGAAACCAGTTGGCTGAGATTGAATCGGTCGAGTAGGGATGAACCCAGTCATACCCGTGTTGGTCGGGATCAACGCTACAGGAACCGTCGAGGCACGCATCAGAAGACATAACAAAACGTATGCAGTGAACGACAGAGACATGACGTACGATTGAGCAAGGGGGCATTGGAAGCAACAGGAGCTAAGGGGCCTCTAGGCCCATTGGGATTGAATCCGGTAGGCTGTGAGACCATCATACTTGGACCATGACTTAAAGACGGTGGTGCAGGAGGTGCGGACACAGGCGCTCGTGCTTGTTGACCATGATTCATGATCTTCTCATATATTTGATCCGTGAGGGAGGATTGAGGTGTGCTGGCTTGAGGTGTCGCCATTTCAATGAGAGGAGCGGGGGCGGGGGCGGGAACAGGGGCAGGATTCGAGACTGGTGCGGGGTCATGAGAGGGAGTGGTTGACTGTGATACTGGAATTTGAGGGGTGGTAGAATTAGGTCTGACCGTCCATGCATCATCATCAAAACCACTGCTCGCTAGTTTGGCGCCAGGATTCGCAGGCTCCGAAATCGGTTCAACTAGGATCTGAGGAGTAGCTGCTGGTGGTGGTGCTTCCGATAACATTTCCCGAGCCGTAGTGAGGGTGTCCAGATCGACAGTTGAAGATCCCGTCCGATTAGGTGTGGGTCGCCCTCTACGGGTAGTCTTCAAAGAACCGTTTGGCCCACTAGTGAATATATTATGCCCGGAAGATGGACTCTGTCCTGAGAGTTGTCTCGCCAGCTCCTCATCCTTGCGAATCTGCTCGTCTTGCGGGTTCCCTGGGCCACTAGGTGAGCTACCATATTTACTTTTAATGTGCTTCTTGACTCTGATTACATCACCTTCGCGCAAGCCTAAATTCCGCATTGTAGCAGGTTCTAGTTCAGTCAACAAGCTTTCATCAATTCGATCTCGTTCGAAATTGGTCGCATATCTTGTACAATCGTCCAAATCGCATCCTGCTGACAAGAAAAAGTCAAACCAGTCGGTGGGCTTCTTGGTAGGCCCGGAAGGTCGTTTGGATGTTGCACTAGTACTGGATGAGGGTTTCGAGGCGCCGCTCGGTCCGGACGAGTTTTTGATGGCCAATTTGGCCAGAGGCAAGTCATCAGGATCAACACCCCGAAGTGATCTCCCAGTAGCGCCCTCCAACCATATGACATCTTCGTTCGACATCTTGGATAAGGGAACTTCTATGATGACTCCGTTGAGTTTGTGAAGTCTGATCTTTCCGTTTTGTAAGCCTCGGAATTCGGCTTCCACTTTGAATTGCCCCGTCCGATCACGCCATGTGCGAATCTGCCCTTGTGGCTCTGTCAGGTTCATCGTGATCGAAACCCTCACGCTCAGTACAATGTAGTCCTTGAATGTGCCATGAAAAAGTAACTCAACTGGTCTTTCCCTCTCGAGGCGCAGATTCTGGACGCTTGGGAGGCGCAGGACCACCAGGCTGGATACGATTGCCCTGAGCTGAATCAGGACGTGCAGTCAACTTTGGAGGCGTCGGGCCAGTTGCGAGGCCCGGATTAGTCATGGCTCGTTCCGCCTCTCTTCTTTGTGTAGATCTAGCTTCGGATTCACGTTTTCGGCGAGCTGCTGCTTCAGCCTCCAAGAGCCTGTTCTGCTCAGCTTCTCGAGCAACCACCAGTTTGCGATCTGCAACCCTTGCATTGGCTCGGTGATAATCTGAGTCTTCTTGATCAGCAAGTTGTTGCGCAAGTCGAGCGTCTTCCTCTTCTTGCACGCGGCGGCGCTTTGCCTCGTCAGCAGCGGCAGCGGTCATCGCAGCGTCGGCGGCTTCAGGGTTACCAGAAGGTTGACCTTCATCTGTTTCTATGTAAGTGGCAGGCACAACACCCTCTTCACCATTTGACATCCTCGAACATTTCCACCAATCATCGTCACTCGTATCGTCTAGTACATGGATCCTTTCGCCTTCCCGTACGGTTAATTCATCATCTCCTTGAGCGTCAAAGTCATATAAAGCTGTAGCCGGTTTGCCAACTGGTTCCACAAATGAGACTTTGCGTCCATTTTGACCAGACGGGCGATCAGGATTGGCCATGGCTGAAGGTGGGCGAAAGGAAGGCGTAAGCGAGGTGGTCGGACTGACGACTCCTTTGATTTTGGATGGAGTGGAAGTGGGAGTAGCTTGAGTTGACAAAGCTTGATGCCCTTGTTCGATTCTAGAGACCATTTCATCCAAATCTTGGCTTGCTACTTGAAAATGACGCTCCTCGTTCTCGCATTGAAGTATCAAGTGTTTCCCCTTTTCAGTCCTAATCACACGAACCTTGGACAGCGAATACTGCTGCACACCAGTCTGTAGGAATCAAAGTAGAAAGTTACAAAGTGAGATCCAGTTAAGGTCAGGGCAAGTTGAATGTGACATACCTTATCACTTTCACTTGCAAAGATCAAAGCCCCATTCCCAATTCCCAACGTGCCTTTTCTTTTTTTCTTTTGATCTATGTCCTGTGATGTCGGGTAAGAATATCAACACTCTGCAAGTATATCACCACATCAGGTACTAAATGCTCACAGTCACTGCCCACGTCTTGACTTCGGCAACACCGGCAGAATCTGGGCGGTTTGAGTTCATTGTTGTATCCCGAGGGGATATCATTGCGTCGGTCGCAGCAGGTGCAGAGGATGATCCGGCGTTGGGTTTCTCAATAGCCTCGATGTAGGATGTCGGCACGTATCCTACACCACGAGATTCCTGATCGCCTTGTCTTCCAACCAGTGACCAGTCACCATCTTCCTCGTAAAGATCGATGATCTCATCTTCAGAGATTGTCTTCGAATGTGTTGGAAAAGTGTGAATATTGTTAGCAAAGTAATCTCGTAAATTAATGTCATGCTTCACGATCCACACACCAATTCATCATCCGTCTGGGCTTCATAAGCATACAAAGCCATCATTGTTTGCAGAACGGGCGCAGGAAGTATATAGGTCGCAGGGACGAGGCCGATCTTGGGAGGGTCAGACGAGGATGGAGAGGTCTTGAGCATGACCTTGTGCCATCTTTATTTCAAGATCAGCTTGATAATTCTACAGAAACTGAATACGGTATTTGAGATATACTGACTCAGCATCATCGTCCTCCAACAAGTAATAGAGTGCATCTTCCTCCAATTCTAATTCGTCTTCAGTTTGAGGAGAGTATGCATACTCGGCCTTGACGAGTGCAATGTGAGTAAGGGCCATTCGAGGCTGATTGATTTGCGATATAGTTCAGGTGATGGTGGGAGTCGTTCTGATGCCTTATGAAGCCAACTTAAGCAGAGATGATTAGTTTGAGTTCGGATGAAGTTGGAGTTCATCAACTGAAGTCTGAGACACACAGAGAGAGAGAAGTGATCGATTAGAGTTTGATTTTAGTTTTGTACTGTAAACAGTACCAGTGCTCTTTGTATGTACACCCTTGTACACCACACTCGCATCAGCTCAAATCACAATCAAATTGGGTTTGTTTGTAGAATCTCAACATTTTTCACCAGCTTTCACCCACATCATAAAATCCAAACATAGGGTACTCTGATTCATTCCAGATCATTCCTGCGGTGATCTCTTACAAGCAGCATGTCAAGGGTATGAGCATCCCTCTGACAAAACACATAAGCTCAAAGAGGAAAACTGACTTGTTTTTGAGCCTCACAATTATTGGAATCAGCACCTAGTTTCAATGCTATAGAAAGGTTTATGAAAAGAAGTGCAAATTTTCATCCAAAATTGGCATTCTTTGGCCAATTGTTGGCTACATACAAAAAAATTAATATGAGGAGACTTGCCAACGGCAAGTACACCACATCTTGACGTTGCAACAATCCATGCACCTCACATCTCAGACTGAGTGTTGGTAATCTCCTCTCATCTTGAAGCTAGCAAGCCCATGGACTATTCTCACAAGAATATATGTACACCATGGGGCAAATTTTCACTGAAACTATGTGGCCCTCACCCAGGCTTGTCACCTAGCCTTCATGTATGTATCCAGCAAGAACACATTGGCTTAACAAGATCTTCCACCCACTCAGCAGGTGAGCCAAGTGGTGCAATTTCAGCCTGCAATCAAGGTGCTCAGCACCCACCCAAACAAGCTTTATCTAATCTGACATTAGGTGCTGAGAATGTGGTTACATGTTTCTTACTGCATCTCTACAATCACTCAAATAAGATTGAGTCCTCAACAAAAAAAGGAAGATAATCATGTGGTTGTAGCACCACACTTCAATATCAAAAAAGAACAATGATTGCTGGATGATTTTTTTCAATTGTTTGCTGCATCTTATGGTACACAAGATTGATTATTTTGGTTCTTTTGTTGACTCTTCAGCTTCTTGAAGATGGACATTCCAAAGATGGGAGTCATTAAGCACAGTGTTGGGAAACTCTCCTTCATCAATATGAGAGCATAGCTTGTTTGTTTGTGGTATAGAATCCACCCAATACCATCACACTCAAGCAACCTGACATGTGATAAGCAACTAAACACAACGTTGGGCCGGTGCGCTGCTGTTTTTGAGCAACGCACCGGTAACGCACCGCCCCGCCAACGCAGCGTTGAGCAACAGGTGTAACCACTACACACTGCGTTGACCGCAGCAGGGCCAACATCTGGCGGGTTGTGTTGTTTTTGCAGTGGGAAACCAAGCAGCGCAACGGGAAGCACCGGGAAGCACCGGGAAGCACCAGGTAGCACCAGGTAGCACCAGGTAGCACCAGGTAGCACCGGGTAGCACCGGGGCAACGGGGCCAACCTGGTCATTTGGGGGAATTCCTCCTGCGTAAGTAAGTTGTTGTCATCTCTCCTTTTCACACCAACTCATTGGTAACCCCAACCCCTTGCCGCTGACATCATGCAGCTATGGCGAGGCAGTCGTGTCTCCTCACGCTGGCCATACTCTTCCAACTTCCCAAACATCCTTTTCTCGAATCAATTAACCTTACACCGGCTTGCGTTGAACCCAATTCCACAATTGCTTTTCCAAATGGCGTCGAGTCCTGGCAAGGAATCCAACCACCCGCCTCCCTTTCATCTCAGGCCATTGGCACTCCCCTTCAACGCTCCAGCAGACCTCCTACGCCTCGTAAAACCGGTTCCGGAATGGTCCAGCCATCCACCAATGGCAGGACCACTATCTCCCTGCCAAAACCTTCCAGAAACAAGAAAGTTACTACAAAAAAAAGGAATTGATGTCCAAGAACTTGAAGGCCCCATCGAAGAACGGAAAAGCCCCTCTGATTTCAAAGAAGCGTACTAGACCCAGCCAAAACGTGAGTTTCTCACCATTAAAATGATTAGTACTTCTTTACATCAATCATTAATCAACTTCATTTATTGATGATTGATTTCTATGTCCATCTTCATTAAAATCGCCACACTCCTATCTTTAATTATAATCTTTAAACACACAGCAAATTGATGACAATGTACCTTCAGATACCGAGATGAATCAAGATTCTGACAACAACCTCACCAATCGTCAAAAAGTGAAGCGTGTGAAGGTGTTGGAAAATGATCAAGAAGAAGCTGTGGAGTATGATGCTGTGAAAGATTACTTTGGAGAGCCCACATGGGCAGATAAGTAATGAAACTTTCTCCCCTATCAATAATTGTTTTCCCTCTCTTGATAAACATTTTTTCAACTGTCAATTTATAATCTTTTGCGCGTTTTCTTTTGACAGGATAAGACCGAGAGACCCCTGTTCTATCCTTGTCTATGGTGCCCAAAAGCTCCTCAAATCTATTACGACTCCAATTCAAACTTGAAGCAGCACCGAGATGGATACACGGTAGGCCAAGATTGAAAGCTGTGTGCAGGCCGGCAAGACGCAAATGATTCTGGCGCTAAAATGTTCAGACGTCCTTGATCTCGAGTCACCAGTTGGAACTGGGTAAGACTTTCAGAAGTGAAACCTATAGTAATGAAAACAGAATCCTGAGGGCACAGGTTCCTGTCAGACTATAGCTTCACTGCTAGTCTTATGACAAGAAACAAGAACAGACCTGAGGGCACAGGTTCCTGTCAGACTATAGCTTCACTGCTAGTCTTATGACGAGAAACAAGAACAGACCTGCGAGCTCGAATAACAACGAGGACACGCGTAAGGAAAATGAGTAAGATGAACAAGCACAACTAATAATTGATTCTTTTCAACACACCTGAGGGCACAGGTTCCTGTCAGACTATAGCTTCACTGCTAGTCTTATGACGAGAAACAAGAACAGACCTACACAACCAACATATCCAAAGAAGAAACAGAAAATAACACCGTCAGACACTCTATAGAAAGAAACTTGAGCTACGAAGAAGATTTGTACCTGCGAGCTCGAATAACAACAAGGACACGCGTAAGGAAAATGAGTAAGATGAACAAGCACAACTAATAATCTTGTGAGATGAATAGGAACAGAATAAGAAAATTAGTTATCTTAAATTGAGTACCAGTGAAAATGAAACAATAATGAAAGATGACTTACTGATTCTTTTTGACGAAGGAAAGAATCAGAACAAGTGGGAGAAATGAAACACAACAAAAGATATAGCAATTCACAAAATTCCTGTACCCCTTGATTCATGCATAACCAATCTCCAACCCTTTGTACAACTAACCGCTTGCCTTACATTCCACACTAGCTTAACCGATTGTTCACCAACCAACTAATCAACCTCTTCTTCCAAATCCACAATTTCCTTAATCGTAAATGATCTTTGACTACTACCTAAGATAGTATCTTAACCACTACACAAGATATTATCTTAACACACCCCCTCAAAGAGCATTTACGCTAAAAACCTTAAACCTAGACTCTTCCTGAGTGTTGAAAACTGCTCCTTTGGTAATTGTTTTGTTAAGAGATCAGCAACCATAAGATGGGTCGGGCAATGTTTGATAACCATGTCACCCTTTTTAACCACCTCACGTATCCAGTGATAATGAATTTCAATATGTTTTGTTCTTGCGTGGAATATTGATTTTGAAGTCAAATGAATAGCACCTAAGTTATCACTCTGGAGAACTGTGGGATTTGGATCAGTGAATCCAAACCTAGCCATCATATTTCGTAACCAGAGTAATTCTTGACCGGCTTCAGTAATTGCACAATACTCAGCCTCAGTTGACGACAAAGCAACTGTTGGTTGAAGTCTGCTTCTCCAGGAGATTGGTCCACCGGCGAGAACAAAGACATAACCCGTCGTAGAGCGACGAGTATTAGCATCACCGGCCCAGTCCGCGTCACAGTGAGAGAGAGGGCATTCAAAACTCCTTTGTCCTTCCACATGATTTGTCGAAATGCCTGAAAAGACGATACCAATGTTGACAGTGTGACTGAGATAACGTAAAACATGCATCGCCGCTTCCCAGTGAAGTTTTCCAGGGCGTTCAAGATGTTGAGAGAGAACCCCGACGGAGTGAGCTAAGTCAGGACGCGTACACTGAGCTAAGTACATCAGTGATCCTACCACACTCCTGTAAGGTAACTTAGTCAAGGAAAACTCATGAGCTTCTTCGTCAGTTGATTTCAGGATCTTCACGTTCGGTGCCAAAGGTGTAATGGCAGGCTTGGCATCAACCATTCCAAATCTGCTGAGAACAGTCAAGGCATACTGTTGTTGAGACATGGAGTAAGTGAATTTGTCGATTCTATCAATCTGAATACCCACTACAGTGTGAGCAATTCCCAAATCCTCCATCTCCCATTTTGCCGAGATTTCAATTTTGAAAGTGCTGATGTCATTTCCCGTAATGGCTAAGTCGTCGACATGTACGTATACGGCGGTGAATAAGTCGTTCTTTGCACGTATGTAGATACAATGATCAATTTCACATTGTACAAAGCCAATTTCTATGAGAAACTCTTCAACATCATCCTGCCAGATCTTGGGGGACTGCTTGAAACAATAAAGAGCTTTCTTCATTCTCCAGACCTTTCCAGCGGATGATTTGGTACGATAGCCTTCAGGTACTTCGACATAAAGTTCTTCATCAAGATCGCCATTTAAGAACGCAGTGACGGCATCCATTTGATGCACTTCCCAGCCCATGATAGCGGCGAAAGCTATCAAGATACGAAGTGAGACTGGTTTCCCGGTGGGAGCAAAGGTCTCGCCGTAGTCTTGACCAGGAATCTGTGTGTTCCCCATAGCTACAAAGCGTGCCTTATACTTCACACCCCCTGAAACTAACTGTTTCTTCCTAAA